TATAAACTATACTTTAAGGAGTAATTTCATGGTTAACGTTAGAACCACTCAAACGAAATATTATCATATTTATCCAAGTACACCAAAAATTTAATTAGTGCTTTTTAAGTGCAGGATTTGCGGTGTATTACTGCATTTTATTTGAGATGTTTTTGTTGGTAGTACGGAGGGCGTTTATTTAGCAATGCAGAATAATAATTTTTATTTATAAAAACTTGTATTTATACTGAATGCTTTTCTAATTTGCGAAACCAAATAGCCGCCATTTTGCGGTAGGAGGAGCGTATCGCGTGAGCGGTTAAACGAGACAAATTAAGTTATGCATAGTAATTTCAAGCAGCAGGAAAGCTCGTTGCAAATGAGTTCGTCCAGGGAAGTACTGCCATCGTACCTATTTCTGCCGCCAAGCTGTAATACTGGCATTACTGTTCGTACCGGTTTTGAAGGATTAGGGTGCTGGTGAAATTATAGGCAAAAGGGACCTGTCAACTTGTTGAAGAGACTTATTCTGCAGGTAACCGTCTTCGATATCCTTGTGAAATGAAACTCCTTAATCATGTGAAGTGGACTATATGTTCATAGAAACTTATGTCGATCTGACTTCCAATCATGAACACGTTTTACTACTAATAGCGCAATAAAACGACTTATCCAAGAATCTAAGAATCTAATCAAACTGATAATCGCTTATATTTATACCGGAACGGTGTCTCCCACACCGTACCGGTCCTATCAATGGGTCGCTACGCCGATCGGCCAATCAGAGCTCCTGAGCTCTGACCGGCCAGGCGCGTACGGCCGTCCGTAACACAACATTATATCTCTCGGATGACGGGCGCAGAGGCAGTGTCAAACTCAACGACTTTTTGTTTTATACGGGTTTCCCACGTGATTGCGAATGCCGATCACGCGAATGGTACGATAGTGCGAAGACGGTCCAGCATTCCAGCTTTCGCAAATTTGTCTTCGTGCCATCGTAATTCAGCATCACGCTTGTAAACTTTCGTGCTCTTAAACCTTCGCGCAAATAAGCCGTTGCGCATATAGTTTTCGCGCAACCGTCTTCGCGTTATCATCATTCGCATAATCGGCATTCGCAATCACGTGGGAAACCACCCATTTATAACACCTTTCAGGTCTGTGGGTAGATGTTCGTAGAAGTGAAGAACTGTTACCCGCAGATTTCAAGATTATTTATTCGATTTCAGATTTTGCATCATACAATAACGACGTTTTGATATTAAATTGCGGATTGCAATCATTTGAAGTCATGACAAAGCCTTTATTCGCAAACAAAACAAACCTCAGAAACGTTCAAATAATGGCATGTCTTTTACCAGAAAAATCCTACGCTAACTTGTTTGAACAATTAAACATCAACGTTAGCTGCATACAAGACTTAACTATCTTTGAAGTGCCTCACCAGCTTCGCTTGCGTGGTGCTCATTTTGAAGGCTTGAACTTGTGGAAACTTTTTATCAAAGGTTTAGTAACAGATACTCTGTTACATATTAAGAGTGACGTGCTAGAATCACTGAAACATGTTGGACTGATAAGTTTTGAAAACGTCATGTTAGCACCTTGGCCTGAGGATACAACAGTCGTGGTGGTCATTTTGGAACGCGGTAGATCGGAAGGTGTTTGGGGAGGTTGCAGTAACTTAAGAGCTTTGATAATATCCCAATGGGAGGTGAACTCAAGAGACTGGCTTTCGAATTGCACAAAGTTGAAAAGTCTCACGTTAAGCCGAATGCCTTCAATTTTCACTGTAATATGGGTGTTGGAGGGAGCAAAATCATTGCAAGAAGTTGATATTCAAAACTGTAATTTGCCTTTATTGCACTTTTCGCTTTTGCAATCTGTCAATTTGAAAAAGCTGTCCATAACGCAAAGTAACGTGAATAATATAATGTAAGTTATTCTCCTCTATTGTCTTCCTCATAAGATAAAAGACAAACCATATTTTAATGAAATTAATGAGATGTACGAAAGAAATGAAACGAACGAAATAATTGCCTACGTGGTCGAACGGTCACAAAGCTGGTCTACCACGCAGAGGACCCGGATTCGATTCCCCGGCTGGGAGAAATATTTCTACGGTCTACATTTGTTTCTCTCGTAAGTTTGGGTGTAATTTGTGGTTGTCTTTGTGTGAGTTTGTTTATGTATTTTCCCTAATGCGGATCTGTAAGTGTTTTACGTTAATTTAGATAAAAAAATATTGCACAATAGAATACATCGATCATTCTCGAATTTAGTGTTTACTATGTAATTTCCGTGGTATTTTTTACTATTTAAGTATTCGAGTATTGTACGCGGAAATATTATTTAATATTTCATGCTAATGTATAACACAATACCATACAAATATACCTTATAGTACACTAGAACAAATATATAACAAAAACAGAAGTCAAGATCAAAGTCAAAGTCAAAGATTATTTATTCCATAGGTAAAATAAATTTACACTTTAAAACGTCACATTTAAGCTACTGCTCGTTCACTACGCTGACCTCCATTGAGAAGAATGAGCAAGAAACTCTAGGGATTGCTCTTTTCAAATAAACTTAAATGCTATGGAATACACTTTGACTCAAATTTGTGTGGATTGTGGAGCCATGTCGTATTTCCACACATCTTTATCTAACACGTAGTCTTCAATTTTGTAATATGATTTTTCGATCAATATATTTTTAATGTAGTTTTTACACTTAGGAAATGATAAACTTAATATATGCTCCGGAATCTTATTGTAAAAACGTATACAGTTCCCCATAAAAGAGTTGTTTACCTTGGTTAAACGAAATCGTGGTACCATGAGTTTGGACTTGGCTCTAAGGTTAATATTATGGATATCTTCTTTCTTATTGAAATTATGTATATTTCTACGGGCATATAAAATATTTGAGTAAATGTACTGTGATGCCACAGTCATGATACCAGGCTCCTTAAACTTGTCTCTGAGAGAAACCCGAGAGCCTGGACGGTACACAGATCGAATCGCTCGTTTTTGAAATACAAATGTGGTTTGAATATCTGCCGCTTTACCCCACATGAGAATCCCGTAGGACATTGTACTATGGAAGTAACTAAAGTAAACTAGTCTAGCAGTACTAACATCGGTAAGCTCACGTATTCTGCGGACTGCATATGCAGCGGAGCTTAATGGGACGATATATGTGGAAACCATTGAAGTTTACCATCTAAGGTCACTCGCAAGAAGACTTCTTTATTAACAAGGTCTAAACTACTTCCAGGATATTTATCAGCGCTATCTAGCTGCAAGACGGAATTTCAACCTTTTTCAGAGTTACGATCTGTGCTATGGATATTAGCAGTCCTCTTGCGTTATTGGTCCGTTAATAATTATAGTTATATTTTAGTTACGCATTCGAGAATCAAAAGGCACTTGAAGAATTGGATCTATCAAATAATAATCTCGAAAACAGTAAATATACAACACATCTTTTGCACGACCTACCGGCGTTACAAAGGTTGGATCTGGCCGACAATATTTTACTCGACTTCTGCAATTTTATCAATAGCAGGTGTGTTCAAATTTTACTTAACCCATTCATGAACATATCACACAAAAATATCACTACTTTTCTTGCCGTAGTGCATATAACTGTGGAGGTTTGTTAAGCGAGAAACACAGACCGGGTGCGGGTCGGGAACGCGGCGGGTGTCATTCCGTGTCGCGAATCGCGACCCGCTCCCGCTTTGTGTGTGTTTACGGTTTAGGGCGTTTTGGGGCTGCACCGCTCTTGCAACGCCTCGGATCTTGATTTAATAAAAATCTGTTTTACCCAAATAGTACAAATAAGGTTATTCAAAGTTAGATTGACTAGATATGTTTTGGACAAGCGCGTGTCACATGGTCGTCAACGTCAAATGAGTTTGTGGCCAAGAGCGTTAGCATAAAAAGAAAATGTCGTACGTATTAATACTGTGAATAAATGAAAATTTTGTATTTTTTTTCTTTTAAATTTAAAGTTACTTTCAGAAACTTATAAGGCATATCTTGAAAGTTGAGTTTTTCGTTTAGTGACTGTATTGATTTCAACATATATGTTATAATATAGAAGATAAAACTTCATAAAGATGAAGCTAGTTTTTGGGCTCTAAATTCCGTATAATATATTTGTTTTTTTAAAATAACGGAATCGGACTTTTTACAGGTTCGGTTAAGTCTTATGTCAGATTTACAGGTCCAGTTACGTCTTATATCGTCTCAGTCAGCTCCATTTTAACTGGATCTTTCCAAGTTTTAGCTAAAGTTTAATGGATCTATATGTTTTAGCTAAATATTTAAAACAAAGGTTTCAAAGTTATTTTCCTTCCATTTTCGTGTATTAAGAATACCATTTACGGCGCTGCGCAGATGGAGCAACTTTGACCATCGCGTTTCGGCAACTGGCAACCTGCAACTACTGCTTTTTATCACGTTTTTTATATAATTTCAAAAAACCGCGGAGACGTAGCAACTACAGTTGAGAGTTTCGGCAATCCACTACAGTTTTCGATTGCCGAAATCCATGATTAAATAAATTCTTGATTGCCGCAACTAGAAACTTGTAAATTTGTATTGGTTGTCTCCAGTTGTCAGTTTCCACAACCGGCAACCGCAACTCGTGAAGCAACTTCACTCCCTACGCTGCGGGGTATGGCGCAGCGTCTCAGTCTTGACCGTGGATTTCGAAAGTTTATTTAAAATTGCGGCAACCGGCAACTAGGCCTTTTAGTTGCTACAACCGGCAACCGTTAATGGAACTTTTAAAAAGTTGCCGCGTAAACTAAAGTTGCTCCATCTGCGGAGCGCCGTAGATTTCAAGAACTGTTAAAACTTGAATAGGAATTTGGCTCTTATTGAAAAAACTTGTGCTTCAATAGATGGATTGATTACAGTGTACCTTTGTCTGTTAGACGTTTATCCTTATTCCATACGAATACTTCAAGACTTTGCTTTGGTAATTGGAATAATTTGGAGTGGCTAGACATGTCTAGGAACAACATAAGCACTTTAGAGGTGAGCAGAACTATCATTATTTACTTACAAATTTAATATTAATATCATTGACTTACAATTATATTGACATCGGGTCCGCGCTAAAAAGTGTCCGAACTTATAGGGCGTTAAAATCGTATACAGAGCATCATTCACGCTTTAGTCTTCGTTTGTTCGACTGACAGCGAAGCAAGCAAAATTAGACAGTACTGCGATGACATTACAATTTAAATTCAACGTTTTAGCTTTTTCATATTCCTTTACATGTCACTACGTTTAAATAGGTTGACTTGGGACATTTTTTTCGTGGTTTTTGTATTAGACCCGTCGTCCATTTATTTGAAAGTCAATGATTAATATAGAATAATCTCGAATCTAAAGTTCATGGTTTAGCCCATCGATGCAAAGTTGCCCGGCTGTCTTCGATGAGTGTGTCCATGAGCTCCATCAGCTCATTCCACCCACCCGCTTTTACTATCGGGCATTCAAACATACGGCTGAATATCATTCCAAATTGAGCAATATTTGTTTCAGGTGTACTAACTGCTTTTCGTCACCTTTATCCGTCATCAGTGCACTAACAGGGCCATTGTAGAGAAAAAAAAACTTGCATATAATTAATACTGTACTTATATTTTAGTTTACACATCTACCAGTTACCAAAAAAGGGATTCTGGAAGTTCATTTACAAGGTAACCCAATCCAGAAAGTAAATTTCGGGAAGGAAGACTATGAACTTTTGAGATCTAACTCGGTATGACGTTTAATAATGTTTAAATAAATGCTAAAAAGTCGTTGAAAAACCAAATACAAAGATACGACAACAAACACATAGAAAAATTCGTGAGGTCCGCTGGTTCCTTCCGTGGCTTAGTTGGTATAGCATCTGATATTATGGTATGCTAGATCGAAGGAATTTTTTCTGAGTGTTCGATCTTTATATTAATAATTATGTAGAAATATTTAAAAAAACCTTCTCCAGTTAAATTGTTTTTTGTCCCTTATGCTCAGACGGCGGTAATGGTTCGAAACATAACATGTACAATAAACAATTATATCTTGTCTATTTATAATAATTAAAAAATATATTTGTAGACAGTCAATCTGACGGTGATAATCGACTCGAAACTGGACTGTGATTGTCACGGTGCATGGTTTGCAAGAAGTCTAAGAGAGCAACACATGTCATTTGATAATGTTCGCTGCGCAGACGATGTCTTGGTTGTTCTTTATGAACCGTCACGTTTGGAATGCGACAAGTATAACTGTGGAGGTTTGTTAAGCGAGAAACACAGACCGGGTGCGGGTCGGGAACGCGGCGGGTGCCGTTCCGTGTCGCGAGTCGCGACCCGCTCCCGGTCTGTGTTTGTTTTACGGTTTAGGGCGTTATTGGGGCTGCACCACTCTTGCAGTGCCTCGGGTAAGTTCGCGTCGCACATGCAGTGACTGCTTCCACACAACGATGCGCATCACTGGTGCGCAGAGTGCGGGCCAGCTCCAATATCGTCCTGGCTAGATTGCCCCTTTATCCGGCATTGTTGTGATAAGCATACCCGCTATGATGCCGGGTATGGTGGTAATCGATTTCAGACATTGATTTGGGAATTTCTAAGATTAATTCTATGTAATAAAACTTTTTATTGTTATTCATTATTTTGACCGCATCTTTAATTACCTTAATGTAATTTCTATCGGTCTTAATTCTTAATTATTTTAAAGATCGAAGCATTTGAACAAATGGTATATGCATGATATTCAATTACAATAAATATTAGTTATCTTGGTTCTTTTTCACGATTGTTACAAAGAGGAAAAATGTTTTTTCGGATCAATATCTGTCATCCATGACCGTGAGACCTAGAAAGGACCCGAAACGTTTTGGATTATTTTAAAAATAGTTGTGCAATACGTGTGGGTTCATAAAAACATCACACGAGTATTTTAATGCCTAATTATGTACGGTTACATACACTGCTTTATCTATACACATATTATGACCTCTCTATGATGTCTTCAGGAACCGCATGTTACGACTGGCGAAATGGTGGCAAATAAAAAGTTTTCTCACGCATGTCACACAACCGTAGTTTTTATTTAATTCATAGACAAACTAGAGTCAGCCCCAACTATCATAATCGTTCGATATCAAGTAATGTGTGAATAATATATTAGTTGCTTGATGTAGGTATAGTGTATATGTATTAATTATTATAATGTATTTTCATAAATTATTTGGAAGTATTTAAACATACACAACACATACACCCACACTCACACACACACCCACACTCACACATACACATCTGTTAGAGTTAAATATGTACATATATGTAATTATTTTACTGTTATATTCAAGTACCTAAGTATGCTTGCATATGTTGTTCCGTGACCTCACTTAGGGTCTTAACTGAAAATCAGTACTAAATTAAATAAATACTGAGTTTGTGACCCTTTTGTTACCGCGGCTGGCACCACACAAAGTATCTCAATATTTAGTGTTCTTTTTATTATTAGTGTAAATAGTTCCTGTTTTAATTTTATCAAATTTTTGTGTATACCTTTTTGTGTTTTGTGTTTGTTTGTGTTTTTGTTTCGTCATTATTTATTTATGTTTTACGTTGAATGTTTTGGTCGTGTCTTGTTTTAGTTCTGTTTTGTTCCGTTTTCTCTTTTTTTTTGTCTTTTATCTTTTGTGGTGTCATTGTGGTAAACAAATAAATGTATTTTCTTTTTTTCTTTCTTTCTTTCAAATTGTTTTGTTTCTTAGAGAAATTCAAAATTGTAATGTAATACCAAAATCGAATTCGATGTTATTATGAAACAATAATAACATTTTCACAGATAAGAAATTTGTTCTAACAAACAGTTTATCTTTATGCTGGTCGTAATTTGCGGTTTTTGAACACATCATAGAGGGTTTATGTTAAGCGTGTAGATAAATAAATATACGAGTCTTAGATCCGCAAAAATAATGTCATTTCCAATAAATATTAATTGTTCCATAAAACTTTCATAGCTTGTACATGTCGTCGTTCATGGCACGATAACACAACACGTGTAAATTGCAAGCCGGGGGAACTACACACGTGGCCAAGAGTGCCTTTGCTGATCGAAGTGCATGCCAGTAACAATCTCATTGAGACCATCCATATGGAAGATCTATCTGATACTTTGATAGTAAGTAAATCTAGATGATATTTTATATTTCTTACCTAGGAAATTTAAGAAATATACATAATTATATCTTTTCCAAATTACGCCCTTTATTCAGTTTTATATAAATTATAGCGCTATGTAATGGCATTCGCCAATGGCGCCACTAGTGACAGTTACTAAATACCACCACAAGTTATGAAGAAGAGACTTTTCATACATTTTATATGACTGAGCGTTTGAGTGAACGATATTTCGCGACTGCAGTCGCACCGACTCCGAATCGCCTTGTTTAAACATGCAGAACTAACTGGCTTAGTGCAGCCCATATATCCATACCTATAGCCGACCGTCTCCAGCTACTTGGAACGGACCTGTCGTCCAATCACAACTTCGGCAGATACATTGAATTCATGGCAAAAAATGCAGCCAGGAAGCTTGGCATCTTTTCCAAGGTGAGGCATTACTTCACACCGGGACAGTTGCTTCACCTGTACCAAGCAAAAGTCCGGTCGTGTATAGAGTACTGCTGTCACTTATGGGATGGCTCTGCTTAATTCCAACTGGCCACCTTGGACTCAATCGACAAAGAGGCTTATAGGTGGCTCGGAATTAGTAGTGGCGAAGCTGCAGAACCTTGAACGCCGCCGTATGTGTGCGATGGAATTGCATAATTTGATTCCGCCTTCCCCTTTCCATCACCGGGGGACTAGGTACCCCTAAGTTGTGGCTATTCCAAGGATTCGCACGAAGCAATTTGCTTCCACATTTATATGGCGAACGGCTATGGAGTGGAATTTTTGCCTGCAGACTTGTTCCCTGAAAGTTATAATTTGGACCTTTTCAAGGCGAGAGTTTGTGGTGATTGAGATGGAGGTCAAATACGCACTTATTTTTTATAAACAAAAGCGTGCCCGCGACCGACACTACTACTAGATGATCAATTAATGTTCCTATTATTATTAGATTATTACATAACAGCTCCACACGCAAAATAGGCGCCTTGTCGTCGAGTTGCGGACACCAGCCCGTTACACCAAGTACCAAGTACGTAACAGCTCACGCGATGCGCTCCTCCTACACCAAAATGGCGGCTATTTGGTTTCGCAAATTAGAAAAGCATTCAGTTTAAATACAAGTTTTTATAAATAAAAATTTTTCTGCATTGCTAAATAAATACCCCCCGACTACCAACAAAAACATCTCAAATAAAATGCAGTAACACACCGCAAATCCTGCACTTAAAAAGCACTAATTAAATGTTTGGTGTACTTGGATAAATATGATAATATTCTGTTTGAGTGGTTCTAACGTGTGGTATGCGACTACGGCTGCATGTATCGCGTGAGCGGATAAGTTGTTAAAATTATAATAATGGACCCAGATAGGTTAATTGATGTAGTTCGTAATCGCCACAAAATATTAATTGGATGAACATTAAATCTTCTTCTCCTTATCATTCCTAGAGCACGAACCCGTAAAACAGAATTTTCCAACAAAAAAGTTCTGATACGATATCCATTTTGCCTGTAGGTACAATAATTATTCGAAAATCCACTAAGCTATCGATCAGTCGCCGGTAGTGTTACGTCGCTAGTCGCCCGCATGCTGCATTGTATTTCGTCGTTAGAAGTCGGTGCGAGTCGATGCGACCGCAGTCGCGACATATCGCCGACACGCTGCCACACCCCGGACACTCCACACAACGGTCGACAATTATTTACCTACTACTACTTCATACACCAAGGCGCTATCTGCACACGCGCAAATGTGTGCGTGAAGTGGCAGGGTTACCTATCACTTGCTCGTACTATTACGTTACGTGATCAGAGCGGCAACATAGCGAAAATTCTAATGCTAATCTGTTATCTATAATTCTATTATGGAATCCTAATAAATAAATATCGATACAATATTATATTTTTTATTAATTCATTAACTAGAATAATATTGAAGATTTATATAAAAAATATGTTCAAAGCACTTAAAATGTTATATTTTGGACAGATAACTTTTAATAAAGTAACCAAAGTATTTGAAATTGCGTGTCCAAGTTTATCATTACCTAGTCCATAATTAGGTATATTCACTACGTAATATTTATCGGCAATACGAATAGAAAATTCGAGAACCCTTGTCTAGCTCACGAAGTTATGGCATCTTATTATATTGGTATAATAAATCTGTATTATATATTGCTCTGCACTGAAGAAAACACACAGTATCAGACATAAGTTTTTTTACTTACTTCGTTTCATCTTTCAAAAAACGAAAAAAACTCCTCTTATTACCCGTTTAGATGATTATAAACAGCCGTACATAGCACAATTCACGACCATTATATATAGTAACGTAAAATGATGTTATTTAAGAACCTACAAATTTCGTAATTAATAAATGAAAACTATTCAAATATTTTGATATTCTGATAGTCTTGGCGCGAAAACGGCTCGCCGACAGCCTTGTTCTCATTCAGTCAATGTGACCGTGAATGTGCGAGGCGTGGTGAGGTATCTAAAGCTAGGGAGGGGCGAAGAGTGTCCGTTCTCGTTACCTATTTGTTCTCTGACGCTGCACAAGCCCTTAGCTACTTAGTCCCAGATCTAAAGATTTTTATGAATGTTTAGAGGGCAAAAATTGAGTTTTAGTGTGAAATAAATATTTAGCCACTTCTAACGTCTATTTGTCCCGTATTATTCGTTAAGTATAAAAATCGTGACATGTCAATGAAAGTAAATTTAAAGTTATAATCGTTTGTCCTATTTTCATGATTAACCTCAACATTTCTAACCACACTAGTGGCCAGGACTGGTAGACCCTTAGTGGCTATGACAGGTGACCCTATTGAGTGGCTTGACTCAGCTGCTAATAATCCAGTGGGTGAGGGCATTTACATCCTGCATAACGAGCTTTTTTAAAACAGCTTTTGAACTTGATATCTTGCTAATCATAGCTAGATATTTTTTTGGTACTTTATTCTGTTCAATATATTTGCTCATTCGAGGCACTTTGCCATAAGCCATTTGAAAAACAGAACAAGTCAGTGATAACGGTCTGTGACAACCCTGTACACTGCCTGGTCCGGATCGGGACCTGAACTTAGAAAGTCCGTTTCATAAGAATGAACCAATTTTTAAGACATTTATGCCACTCCTCCGTGACAATCTCTGAAACATATTTTTCATACTATTCGACAGCCTCTTCAGGTGATGAAAATCGTTGACTGCGTAAATGGTTCTTAATTTTTGGAAATAAATAAAAGTCACAAGGTGCAAGGTCGGGACTGTATGCGGAATGGCTCATAAGGTCAACGTTGTTCACCTTCAAAAATTCATTTGTCTGTCTGGCCGTGTGAGAGCTGGCATTATAGTTGTGCAAGATGATACGGCGTTGACGTTTATTTTTACGGAGTTTGTCAGTAACTTCCGGCAAACAAATGATCGTGTACCAATCACTATTCATGGTTCAACGATTCTCCAAAGCAACAGTAGCTACGTGTCCAGTTTTATTAAAAACGAAGCAATCATCTGCTTAGAGGCACCTTGCACGCGCGGCACTTTGGTTGGTTTCAGCTCATCTCGAATGACCCATACGCTCGATTGCTGCTTTGTTTTGGGATCGTAACTATAAATTCATGTTTCATCACCTACTACTATGTCCCACACCAAATTTGACGCCCCTTCGTTGAATCTGGTAAGCATGGCATTGCACCAAGTGATGCGATCCGTTTTTTGAGCCTCAGTCAAATTGTGTGGGGTCCACCGAGAGCACAGCTTTTTCACACCCAAAAGTAGTGTGTAATATTGATTGTATTTGAATCATGCCTATGCCTAAAGATGCCCGAATCTCATGGTATGTCACATGCCTGTCTGTTTTGATCATACGGCGCACAGCATCGATGTTTTTGTTGTTCACAGCAGTGGACGTGCGACCATCACGAAATTCGTCACTGAGATTCACACAACCGCGTTTGAATTCAGCAAACTAGGTACAAATAGTTGTCTTGCATGGTGCTTCATCGCCAAAAGCAGTTTGAAGCTCCACTGAGCTGTTAAATTACACTTAAAGTCGTAGAAAATCATACTACGAAAATTTTCACGAGTTAAATCCATGGTAATGTATACAACCAATTTCTAAAATGACGCCACAATGTAAAAACAAGTGAGAGTCAGATGAAGCAAACTGTATTCTACAGCCAAAGAGTACCATTTTCAAATGTTGTAATTCCTTTTTAAATATTGTTTATGTAAGTGGCCAGTTCCGGAAACTTATAGTGCGCCCTATGTAATCAACAAACAACGCATAAAAGCAAAATTATCAAAATAGAAAAATTACGTTGTTAGTTTAAGTTTTATTCATTTCTAATTTGCCAGCCCAAAGTTCTAATCTAAATTAATATATTATACAGAAACATGATTAATTAAATAATTAAATTGCAGAATGCTTATACTAAACCCCTAATTCAATGGGATTGTGCCGAACGAACTAATTTTACCTACTGATTAAAACAGTTTAAAATTAGTAGCAGTAGCGCTCCTTGTGAAAGAGTTCTTCCAGGGTAGTACCGCCACCTTACCCATTTCTGCCGCAAAGCAGTAATGTCAGCATACTGTGTTTCGGTTTTGAAAGGTAACGGTGTCAGTGAAATTACAAGCACATGCGACTTGTCAACTTATGTCTCAGGGTGACGGGCGCAGTGGAAGTGTTCCTCAGAACTTTGCGATTTAAAACTTCGTGTGGCACTGCAACTGTTATGGACAGGCGTGTAGCTTACCATCAGGCGTACGACTGGTTCGTCCCGCCAATTGATATCATACAAAAAATTAACAAAATTAAATTGTCACTCGTATTAAAAAAAATTGCAGTTTCAAGTTTACGATATTTCGGCTGTGAAATGTTGATATGCTAAAAGTGGGAATAACAAAATTGTAGAAGAAAATTTTTTTATCATTTACAGTTCCTAGATCTATCTAACAACCGTATAGCCCGTGTAGACTCAGCTGTAGCAGAAACCCTTTTCGCGGTACCGGAGCGACGCATGCGCTTATCTTATAATCCCCTGGTTTGCGATTGTGACAATAAACCATTTCTTGATGCATTGAAGAATCACCACAATCAGGTAAATTAAGAAGTTTGTTATTCTTTACTATAAATATGTATAGGTATATATTTCTATCTAAGCCGCCAGCCTGAATTGTGACTGAGTCATGTTGACTGAGTCAGACAGGGCATGTTAGCCGCATGTCAATCGAGCTGTGGGCCAAGATCACCATTGAGTGGATGCCACTAAACACAAAGCGGAGACGTGTGAGACCCAGGAGATAGTTATACATGTGAGATTTTAAGGGTTTAATCCGGGATTAGTAGAAGAAAGAAGCAAGGTCTTTACCCTGGTATATAATAGTAACAGCTGATTTTTTTTTATTAATTTTTTTTATTGTCTATAGATAGAAGACTACAGCAACATAACATGCGTCGGGGATGGAAGAACTCTTCAAGACCTTGATACAGAAATGCTATGTAATGCAAAGAAATTCATTATGTGGATAGTTTTATTGGCAACAGGTGGCATGTTAGTAGGTCTTGCTACATTTATAGGAGCGCTGTACTGCCGTTATGCCCAATCAATCAAAATATTCCTATACGCACGAGGAATTTGCTTATGCTGCATGGCTGAAGACGAACTTGACACAGATCGTCAATACGATGCATTTATTTCTTTCACTCACGAAGATGAAAAGTTTGTCATAGAAAATTTGCTACCAGAATTAGAGAAGACTTATAAAATTTGTGTACATTTTCGTGATTGGATTGTTGGAGATATGATTCTGACACAGATCACGAGGTCAGTGGAAAGTTCTCGACGAACTATTGTGGTTTTATCTAAGAAATTCGTCAAATCCCTTTGGGGAATGCTTGAATTCAGGACGGCTCACATTACGGCTTTAAGTGAAGGCAGAGTGCGAGTCATCGTGGTTATCATAGACGATGTAGCTGAAGATAATACTTTAGACGTGCAATTACGTTCTTACTTACGTACCAACACTTATCTGAAATGGGGAGACCCTTGGTTCTGGGATAAATTGAAATACGCAATGCCTCGATTACCACCTACTACTATTACGAACCCAAGACAAGTGAATGCAACCCGCGTGGGCCAGGATGCGATCCATTCATCAACTTTGGTACGGCGAGAAAATCAATCTCATACCGACGTGATATTAGAATAGTTTCATACAATAATATAATCAATTGCTATATTTCTTACTTTTCGTTATTTTATACCCTTAAATGTTCCCTCATATTGTTAAGCAACTTGGATTTCACAAAATTGCTATCAATTTTAACCATAGCGCATTATTTATAATTATACATGGTGTAAATTTGCAGCAAGGCCAGCCACCTTAATCATTGTAGTTACAGGAGAACGGTTCTAGAAGACTATCCATGAATTTTGAAGATATTTTGATTGACATTCGCAGATTTTGAAAAAATTGTACAGTTACCAAGATAAAAGGTAATTTTTACATTTTTTTTTATTCCATTCGATCCTGTCTCTGTTAAGGATCAATAGCCTCTATGGGACTAACTGAGGTAAGAGTACTCGAAATGTCATAAATCGCAATAAACTGTATACCATACATTTTATAGGGACATATTTACTAATTAGTTATTCTAGGTTAAGGAAACTAACAACAAGGAAACTAACAAATTGATAACGTATTATGTATTTCAAAACAAAAACAATAACAAAAAGCAAAATAACATAAAAATGTATGATAGTAATTGCTCGAATTGATTACCGTCTTGGCGGATGTATCGATTCGCTCTCTTCCACCAAGAGCAAGTAGCGGCTGAAATTTTACTCGGATGGATTCCATTGAAAATTGCTGCAAGTGCGTCTTTCAATTATTGAACACTTTTGTATTTTTTTATAAATTTCATTTAACTAATACATAATATGTTGTCAATTTGTTAGTTTCCTTAACTACCTGGAATAACAGATTACTAAATATGTCCCTACAAAATGTATGGTAAAATGTTTTTCGCGATTTCTCAGTTGGTCCCATAGAGACTATCGATCCTTAACAGAGACGGGATTGAATGGCATAAAAAAAGTTTTGTAAAAATTGCCTTTTATCTTCCTGACTGTACCATTTTTTCAAAATCTGTGAATGTCAATAAAAATATCTTCAAAATTCATGGATAGTCTTCTAAAACCGTTTTCCTGTAACTACAACGATTAAGGTGGCTGGCCTTACTGCCCCGTCTCAAATTTACACCCTGTATAGTCGTGTAAAATTGGTATTTAAAAGTACAAGTAACGTTATATATTACTTATAACGCCATCTATTAAAAAAAGCATGAACTACCTATAAACCAAGAGCAGCATTACATAATGGCATTACGTGAGTACAGGCTTCAGTTTTCACTCTCCAAAAATAGTTTCAGAATTCGCTAAAAGAGGTCGCGAATGCATTTGAAAGAGGTAATTTTTTTAATTTAGTGAAATAAAAACCAAGTTACGAAGTACACAATCATTTTCATTACAGAATAATAGGAAGGTAAATAAATAGAGAACAAAAAATCTTCCTAAATTATTTTGAATTCATACGATACGATTTACAATTAGACATACAGCGTCATCTATCCACGCCAATCAATATTACGAAATGTTTTCATACGCCCGTGATGTTTACATTAGTTTCAGTAGTTACTTCCTTATATTCTGTATAGATGGCGGTAGTTTTTATTTCATAGAATAACGTTGCATTCTTGCATTACATTTGAAAATAAAAGAGAAAATCAATAGTTTCACTTTAAGTTATATAAAAAAGAACAAGTTGTACCTTGCACGCGCTGCTATGCTACAGAAAACGTTACGAGGTACCCAATGGGGTGGACAATGGCTTTAACCCTCTCCTTATAGGAGACCCGTGAAATTTATCGCACTTGGATGAATAAATGTAATACGATAATGTTGTCCTAATAATCAACTAAATACGTAAAATTGTATTATAATTAATTGTGTAAAATGTTCCGAAATGCTGCTTACGTACTTTTCACGACAATATTATGTACAGAATTGTGAATATTGTACTAGTGAATTGTACTGTGTAATTTATGTGCAAATGTAAATTGTACATTTGGCGAGGACTATATTCTCCGTAGTCTTGTATGACCCAGTCGAAAACCAGTTTGGTTAAGTTTGTAGAAAAAAAGAAAATTAAAATTAATACTGTAACAAAGGCTCGTTTTATAGTTCCGTAAAAATCCGATAGATGACATTGAGCTATTTTTATGTAAATTCGGTGATGTAAAAACATCGAGTCTAATATAACCAGAAATAGAGACGAAATAAGGGCCATCTATCCCTGGCAACTCATCAGGCAAATGGGCCTTATATCACTTTTAAATACAAACTCTCGTTTGCGCTGAAATCACAAACCAGAAAACTGAAATAGTACAGCGCCAACAACTGACTTGTGTGTACGTCTCCATATATTCCAAAAATATTCTGTATTTCTTATAATAAAGATAATTATCTCTAACAATGGGGGCTGTTCCATTCGGTAGTGTGGGAAAAACAGCAAAAAATCTAATTACAAAACAAACGTAATCACATTTCATCGGTAATTAAACATTAAATAAGTAATTTGCAATTTTCGTCCATCATAGCAAAGCTCAAGTTAAACTGATCGTTTTGAAGTGAAACAATTGACGACACCCGTAATTTTTTTTTGAATTCGGGCTGGCTAATCGGACAGCAGTCACACTTATGATTTGGCAGAATAGTTTTCAACCAAATTAAATGACATTTCGTCTCTATTTCTGGTTATATACTCGATCGGTAAAAATTTTCCCCTAAATGGTAACTACTTCGACCGAAATTTAATAATGAGAGATTAAAGCGGCTTCGATTCTCACGTGTTGCTAGAAATTTTGGAAAATCTATGAATGCAGTTTTATTTCTTTTAAAAAATAAAGGAATGTTTCCTGTAAGTAAAAATGTTTATCTCCAGTATTTAGAGTACTTTCCCTCCAGGTGGCATTACAAATTTCGACCCTGTATACTTGTGACACTGGCTCAACTGATGATTTTGGCTCGTCTTCCGATAACAGTGAATAAAAATTTAAATTATGAAGCCTTCTGTTTTAGTTTAGAATTTTGCTATTTAACTACAGGTTGTTCTTGTGAACTCCTTCCATTTGTCGCCAGTAGAAATCACCACTGGCAACAACTGGGATTTTTTATTCCGTTTGTCACCACCTGGTAACATATGGGATTTTTTTTTCCCATTTGGCGCCAGTGGGAATAAAGCCAGTGGTGTCAACTGGGAATAAGCGGTTTGTACTACCAATAAAACTACAATATTTTTATATTTACTTATCGAGTCCGAATTTAAATTACTCATGGTATGGTAGTTATATGTGCATTTGGCCAGACCGGCAAAATGATAGTGACGGAGTGAAGATATTTGTGTTTTCCATCCGTTACTCTCATCTCTGGACTGTATTCGCACTTTCCATCAGGCGCGGTGCAGTCATTTTGCCGAGTCACAATAAACAAAAAAAAAAAATTTGAAAATTTTCGCATTTGTCACATTTTTAATAATCGAGTTTCACAATTGATATTTTCATTACTTCCAAAGCATTAAACTCTATATTAAAGGAAATATAATATTAAAGGATATGTAATAGGAAAATTTTACATTCAAATTGTTTTCTGTGAAATCTTTGTCTGTACAATATGGTAATATTTAACTAAATAAGACTTA